TAATTGTACAGAACATAAAGCGCGTCCACAAAGGTTTTGATCCACTATGAAATAAATATAGTTAGACAGCCGTTTTAGTCAAGTTGATGAAACTATACAACGACAAGGACCAACAGCGTTAGCAGACTGTTTGGGCACGTGCTGTTAGCGAGCACTTGTTAAGGCCGGCACGACACACGAGGGGTGGGTGGTCAGCACCACGCCTTTGTCCATTTAGTTGGCGATGTGTACACACCGCACCAGGTACTCGTTTGAGGCTGCGTCGACCAAGGGGAGGCCCAGAACCGGTTCGGATATTCGTCACCGATGTTGGCCGTGAGCGGAATTCGAACTCGGGTCGGCGGGTTGGTAGCGCAGCGCGCTAACCGCTGCACTACCGCTCCCCACACATTATACACATGCACGTCCACACACTCGGTAATTTGAAAATGGTGAGTATCATCCCTCTAAACGTCCGATGGCATTGGCAACACATATTGCATCGAGATTTCAAAGAGTCCCAGGTGATCGCCAAACATCTCAGCTGTGATTGTTTTTTACCGCTTCTCTTGTGCTGTTAAAGATCTCTCAAGATGATTATTTTTTTCCATAAACTTGAGAATGTGAGGAACACGTTTCACTTTCGATTGCCATTGGTTGGCTCCGTGCGTTGCCAAAGAAATTCGTCATACAGACACGCAGTTCAATCTGCCAATTCTATCTAATAAGTGTTACCTTCATGGAGACCCTGCCTGAGTTCGATTGCTGGCCCCAGATAACATCAGTGGTGAGCAATATCTGAAGCGGGCTCTGGGTTCCCCCTTCAGTAGGCTGCACTGATTAGTGTCGTGAGCTATGGTAAAACAATCCCAAAGATCACCAACCAGGATAGGGCGGTCTTCATCGACCGAGCCAGTGGTTTGACGAACCACAGTAAAAACATTTTACCGTTTAAACATTTTCTAGGAATGGTTTTGAGAGCACTCAAAAAGCCATTAATCAATTCTTAATTACGTTTTAAAATGCATGGTTTTCTTTACACATTGCACAATTCGTGGCAATGGTTGCTGCGTTGATTAAAACCCTTGCAAAAGAAGGATCCTGGGTTCAGTGTGCTCTCAGCTGGTTATTAATGAAGGTCATCAATCTACAGGGAGGGCTTAATAACACATGACAGCCCTTGACATGCAAGTCATTTGGAAGGTGAGGAGCAGAGACGTGGGAACATAGAAGTACAATTAAATGTATGTATCTGCACAGCCCACCACGCCACGCTGCCGCCGATGAACATTTTTTTGCACGTTTTGTTCACCCGCCAAAGATACCATTTCGGCTCAACGCTAATTAGTTACCGACATCTGGTGAGTTCAAGCACGTCCTGTGCACTTTGGTCAAATGCAGTAAACATACGTTTCTAATATATAAGTATATTTTTAAACTTGAAACTAAAAAAACCCATGTGGTCCCTGGCATGATGTAGTACAGTACCCATGTACTTGTTACAGCCCTGAGCCAGAGGTGGGAATTCCACATTCCCGTGGAAGTTACGAGTCTAAAAAATGTTCTTCAACACGCGTCTAAATCTATACATTTTGTGGGCACGGTTGTATTTCCCGTCTTGCTGTTGAAAACTCTAAAAGCACCCCCTCGTATATCACAAAACGTATTTACAGGCGTGCTGGTCCTCTGGGTAGCTGAGTGATACGTTTTACAATCTCTCCACAGGTTTTTCACGGAACTTTCCCAATTGCTTGTCAGCGAGAGCCGGTCGTCATCAGCGTGTGATTGATAGCGACCAGGTAGTCGCATACGCCGCAGTAATTTTGAACCTGGCAGGCGTTTGTACAATACGGAACTCGTTGCACTGCTTCCGACAGGGTTACCATGGCATGTGTGTCCCTTATTCTCCGAGACAGGTGTGACCAGTGATGAAATATAATATATTTAACCAATTAAGACAGAGTGCAGTGCACGCCCCTGTGTGACTTTGCAGTTGCAATGCACCATGACAACATGAGTATTTATAGACGACTTATCAGCGCTGCATTTCTCATTTTGCATCCGTAAATGACCTCGTGAAGACGCTAATTTTTCACAGGGTCACTTTATAATTCCATTAGAGAGATAAGTCAACGCAAGCGGAACTACATTTTACTCAAGTGAACTGCAGCGTGTTAGACCAGACGAGATGGTATGGGATTCAATTGAACTTAATTGAGGCAAATTAAATGGGAAATTAATGTACGCACATAATCATTGCAAATCTATTCTGTAGATGCTGTAAAGGAGGCTCGCAAAAAATAAGTGTTTTCTTATGCAGTCGTGCATAACTAATGTAATGTGCCACGCTGGTCAGGGCAAGATCAAAATTATATACAGGGTGCTTAAAAAAAATGTTAAGACTTAAATGGGACTATCGATCTTAATGGGAAAAGAACGGATAATACACTGTAACATGATAACAAATGTACGTTGATCACTTCAAAAAGTCAAAGGGCCTCCACTTGTTCGCCAGAATTGCCGACACGTGGCCTGGAATCATCTCCAGGTGGTCTCCAGAGCCTGGAGGCAGGAGCACATTGTCACGTGGTATTGTTGCAAATTCTCCCAAGTGTTAACATTTTTTTAAGCACCCTGTATATACATTTGTAATCGTGGTGTACTGTACGTATGTTACGTGCAAATCAATATTTGTATAAAATCACTATTTTCAAAATGCATGTTTTATTGGGTTGAGTCTAAGTACAGCACAGTTTTTGGACGGCCCCACTTGAGATGTCCGGCTAACTCCATTTTAATCAGAATATGTATTTATACTGGAGCAATCCGATGAGCTATGAAGCTCTTTTTCACAGATGTCCAGTAGGGGCGGGAAAGAATCGTCGTTTCACACAACGGGATACATGAGTCTGTGTATAACACCCAAACACGTTTCACACAAGGGGATACTTGAGTCTGTGTAGAACACCCACACACTGTTTGACGGAAATATCATCCAAGTTACGTACAGATGGATTAAGCAAGCCTACTTGCTGTGCATCCTTCTGTGGCTCGTGAAAAAAAAGGAATCGGTAAGAAAAATCCACCCCATGATAAAGTCTTGGCCACAAATGATAAGCTTAACTACGGGGCTCATCGTGTGGACATTTATAACCCTTAAGCCCATGTTTATAAAAGGACCCGGAGAAAAATCCACGGGACGACGGAGAGAACACGCAAACTCCAAATATATAGCAGGCGTCAAGGTTGGGATCGAATCCACGACCACCCGCATACCAGGCGAGGTAGTTAACATCTCGCCACCGCGGCGCCCCTATTGCAGCTACGGAGGAAGGGCCTGGGGGCTTCAGGAGGAAGGGGAGGGGGGCTACACAGGTTGAACTTCCCTGTTGAGTAAAGGCAATAAAAGCAAAGAATGAAATACGTGCAGCAGGAGTCAACGGCGGCACGCCTTTGGTGCCGCAGACGCGGCCTCAGGCTGACTGGTTCCATTAATCACACACCCCCTAGGTGCACACATGATCGCACACAGGGCTACAGGTGTCCATCATCACCATGCCCGACTGCAGTGACCTGCTCGTACGCGTCAACCACATCTTCAAGCGTGCAATCGGGGCCGTACCGTAGCCGGGAGGGGGGGGGGTCCCTCTATGTAGCTCAGCACCCTGCCCTCCCCCCCCACTCCGCCCCCCCCCCCCCACCGACCCACGGGGTCCGACGCAGTTGCACAGTCTGTACTACACTCAACATCTACACGGACTGGGCTGTAAGTTGGAACGTCCTCGGATTCCGCTCCTGCCGAGCGCAGCGTGTGCCGTTGGCAATGAGCATCGGTGCGCCCCCCCCCCCCCCCGATGATTTACCCAGGGAGACCTCGCCGAGTCTCGAGACGTCGCTTTCAGCAGGGCCCTTGGCTAATTCGATGCATGCGCGTTGGGGCGTGTGGGAGTAAACCAGAGTGTCCTGCAGAAAGCAAAAAAACCCACACACGTTCGTGAGACGGAGGTACAACTCCAAGCTTCGCACGGTCACATTCCAAAGTCCGTTGCTGTTCGTGCCATCTTCTGGCCACCTCTCGGCATCTTTTACCCGCTTCGCCTTAGCGCTGACCGGGCAGTGGTCCCTCTTGGTCTTTTTGCTACACATACGACCAGGGTGACACTCAAAGCTCCACACGGATTCTAAAATCCATTTCCGTCCAGCCATTTGGCCACCACTCACCTTGTACAGTACCTGCTTTGCCTTACCACTGACACAGCAATTAGTGACTCGGTTATCACCCAGTCAGCACAATCGTTTGCTCTATGTCATGAAGATCAGCGTGAGTAAAATGTGGTATTCGCTCCGCTGTTAAAGCACACGGCAACCATCATGAAGGCGTGATATGTATCACGGGCAGAAACTATTTACTAGTTTTATTTTACCAGATAAGGGCAACTTAGCTATATAGCTCTTTTTCCTGGTCACAAATGATCGCTCAACGAAGCGGCTTATCACGTGGGAATGTATAGCAGCCAAATGTTATAAACGCATGTTTCTAAATGTGGAGGGAAAAACCGGAGGACCCGGAGAAAAATCCACGCGACCACAAGGAGAGACACATGCAAACTCCCAAATATACAGCAGGCGTCAAGGGTTGGGATCGAACCCACGCCCTCCTGTGTACCAGGCGAGGGAGTAAACATCTCCTAGCCACCGTGATGATGATAAGAGAGAGAGAGAGACGCAGACTTCAAATATACAGCAGGCGTCAGGGTCGGGATCGAACCCACGTCCTCCTGTGAACCAGGCGAGGGAGTAAACATCTCCTAGCCCCCGTGATAATGATGATGAGAGAGAGAGAGAGAGACGCAGACTCCAAATATACAGCAGGCGTCAAGGGTCGGGATCTAACCCATGCCCTCCTGTAAACCAGGCGAGGTAGTAAACATCTCGCAGTAGTTGCGCTGAAGTTGGGGGTGAATACTTGCTGCGAACATTTCCCCCACCGCCCCCCCCCCCCCCCGAATGTCGCCACGCAGGCGGGTGGCCTCCGGACATATGGCCCAGTCCTACTACAGACGCGCGGGCGCGAGCGAGCAACGCCGCGACCGCATCCCCCTGCGAATTGTGCGCGCCGAGGCGGGCCTCTCACCGGCCGAGCGGGCCTTCCTGGCGGCCGTCGAGAGCGGCGACTACTGCACGGTGAAGCGGGCGCTGGACGACGTGTCGGTCTACGGCCACATCGACGTGAACTGCCTGGACCCGCTGGGGCGCAGCGCGCTCCTGCTCGCCATCGACAACGACAACCTGGAGATCGTCGAGCTGCTGCTGAGCTACAAGCTGTCGGCGTGGGACGCGCTCCTGCACGCCATCCGCAAGGAGGCGATAGGCGCCGTGCAGCTGCTGCTGGACCACATCAAGTGCGTGCCGCAGGTGAGGTCGTCGGCAGCGCCGGCTTTGGGGTTGAGCGCGCGCGGTGAACGCGCGACTACCTGGGGAGAATGGCAGGGCACCGGTGGCCAGTAGCAGAAGTAGCTACGTAAGAATCTTGACTTTAAAAACTTTTGTGACCGCAGGAATTCGTATTCTTTGGGTCTTTCGGTAAAGTCACGTAGATAGGTTCAAAGAAAATAACAAAAAAAATGCAAAAAACTACGACGTTTCGATCACAACACAAGTGAACGTCATCAGGAGGATGACGATCGCTTGCGTTGTGATCGAAACGTCGCAGCTTTTTTGTTCGCTATTTTGTTATTTTCTTTGAACCTATCTACGTGACTTTACCGAAAGACCCAAAGAAAATAGCTTTTCAAGGGTCTCGCGCTAAATGCTTTCAAGCTATCAATTCCGGTTTAGTGATTCTGCAGTTGCTCTATTACTATAGTACTATACTGCCTTCAACTTTTACGAACGACTGGGTGTTTAAGGTTAGCGATGTGTCGTTTTATCTGGCTGTATAGCAAATAAAACGAATACAATTACTTTACTTTTCAGGTTAAACATTTTTTTATATATATTTGTGTTTTTTTATTTTATTTAGGGCACCTTTATAACACGTGCTACAGGCCCCGCACTAGCTTAATCCGGCACTGCAGGGCAGCGGTGGGTAACCCGGATCAAAAAACAAGAACATGGATCATGCAAATTGTGTGGAAAATGCGTAATAAAAAAACATTTCTTGACGGCAGGAATTATATTGCTGTTACAATTTTTTTTTTTATCGAGCAGCAAAAATCCAGCACCGAGAATGTAAATTATTGGTTTGACTGCCATATGATGAAATATTTCCATGTAGCGGGGCGTGTGAGAAAGTGAATTCCCGATGCATGTACGTGTGTTGCACTTCTTTCGCACCGTACGTGGCCAACCGTGCTAATCAGATGTGTGAGAGTCGAGGGATAGCCCAGCGGCCGCGCCTTCACCGCTTGTTGCCGAGGTTCACGGTTTGAATCCGTGCGACCACCCTGATCATTACCGCGCATGTACTAACTGCAGTAATAATAATACTATGCGTCGTCTACTTCACAGTGGACGTTAACGATCCATTGACGTCATTCGCAAGAGCATGTATAATCCCAAATCATAGAAATCATGGCCCATACTAATTCCCCGGGTCACTCTTGCATTTGAGACTATTCTGGCCTCTTGAGTTCTCACCTGGTTAAACAAGATAAACTTAAGCTCTTTAGTCATGTTAACACGAATTGATTCATTTGTACAAGTGAGCCTATTGCATTCAAATCAGTCTTAGGAACACCACATCTTAAAAATCCTGAATCCCCTGTTAGATGTCACTTATCAGTGTCCAAGATTCAGAGACACATACGGGAATACTGTAGCGATTATCATTATTTGGAGCAGATTAATGTTGGACTGCAGAGATGCATCTTTGTCTTCCCATATCCTTGTGTTTTGTAACATTCCTGTGGCAATGACCAATCTGGTCGAAGCTTCATTCTCCGATCTTCTGTCTTCCTTGAAGTTTGCTCCTAAATGTTTAAAAGAGTTCCCTTAATTAAAAAAAATTATCTACTTACATACAGTGAGGGAAAAAAGTATTTGATCCCCTGCTGATGTTGTACGTTTACCCACTGACAAAGAAATGATCAGTCTATAATTGTATTGGTAGGTTTATTTGAACAGTGAGAGACAGAATAACAACAACAAAATCCAGAAAAACGCATGTCAAAAATGTTATAAATTGATTTGCATTTTAATGAGGGAAATAAGAATTTGACCCCTCTGCAAAACATGACTTAGTACTTGGTGGCAAAAACCCTTGTTGGCAATCACAGAGGTCAGACGTTTCTTGTAGTTGTCCACCAGGTTTGCACACATCTCAAGAGGGATTTTGTCCCACTCCTCTTTGCAGATTTTCTCCAAGTCTTTAAGGTTTCGAGGCTGACGTTTGGCAACTCGAACCTTCAGCTCCCTCCACAGATTTTCTATGGGATTAAGGTCTAAAGACTGGCTAGGCCACTCCAGGACCTTAATGTGCTTCTTCTTGAGCCACTCCTTTGTTGCATTGGCTGTGTGTTTTGGGTCATTGTCATGCTGGAATACCCATCCACGACCCATTTTCAATGACCTGGCTGAGGGAAGGAGGTTCTCACCCAATATTTGACGGTACATGGCCCCATCCATCGTCCCTTTGATGCGGTGAAGTTGTCCTGACCCCTTAGCAGAAAAACACCCCCAAAGCATAATGTTTCCACCTCCATGTTTGACGGTGGGGATGGTGTTCTTGGGGTCATAGACAGCATTCCTCCTCCTCCAAACACGGCGAGTTGAGTTGATGCCAAAGAGCTCCATTTTGGTCTCATCTGACCACAACACTTTCACCCAGTTGTCCTCTGAATCATTCAGATGTTCACTGGCAAACTTCAGACGGGCATGTATATGTGCTTTCTTGAGCAGGGGGACCTTGCGGGCGCTGCAGGATTTCAGTCCTTGATGGCGTAGTGTGTTACCAATTGTTTTCTTGGTGACTATGGTCCCAGCTGCCTTGAGATCATTGACAAGATCCTCCCGTGTAGTTGTGGGCTGATTCCTCACCGTTCTCATGATCATTGCAACTCCACGAGGTGAGATCTTGCATATAGCCCTAGGCCGAGGGAGATTGACAGTTCTTTTGTGTTTCTTACATTTGCGAATAATCGCACCAACTATTGTCACCTTCTCACCAAGCTGCTTGGCAATGGTCTTGTAGCCCATTCCAGCCTTGTGTAGGTCTACAATCTTGTCCCTGACGTCCTTGGAGAGCTCTTTGGTCTTGGCCATGGTGGAGAATTTGGAATCTGATTGATTGCTTCTGTGGACAGGTGTCTTTGATACAGGTAACAAGCTGAGTTTTGTGAGCACTCCCTTTAAGAGTGTGCTCCTAATCTCAGCTCGTTACCTGTATAAAAGACACCTGGGAGCCAGAAATCTTTCTGATTGAGAGGGGGTCAAATACTTATTTCCCTCATTAAAATGCAAATCAATTTATAACATTTTTGACATGCGTTTTTCCGGATTTTTTGTTGTTGTTATTCTGTCTCTCACTGTTAAAATAAACCTACCATTAAAATTATAGACTGACCATTTCTTTGTCAGTGGGCAAACGTACAAAATCAGCAGGGGATCAAATACTTTTTTCCCTCAATGTATATGTCCTCTCCTACCGGGGCATCGCCTGGCTCATTGCGCCACTAATTACAATTCCATATGATGTTCCCACCCTGTCAAGGGTAACTTAATAGACCTGTCATCCTTCTGCTGACATTGCAATCAGATCAATGTCATCTGCGAATCAAAGATTGCAGATCAATCATTCTCTGAATGGTACAGAACTGTAAAATATTTACGCGTGTCTGACATCGTGTTCTAAATACACGTCATATGCATGGTCATAACGGACAACTCTGTCGTTTGTGGAACGACTCACTAAAAGCATTGTCCATCAGATCTCCACCCATTGTACTGTTGTATAATGATTCTACAGCTATTATTTTACTTGGACTATTATACTTCTTCAAAACCCCGCCCCCAAGATTCCTTATTGATCGAAGTCTTTTTTATAAATAAAATTATGATGGAGGTCTTTCTGATGTTCGCTATATTTCTCAGAGGTTGAAAATGTGTTCTGCTGTACTTTCTCCAGCCCTGACACCTGCCTCTTCTTCTGATAAAGTTGCTTCTACCTGTGGGTTGACACCTTTTTAAACATCGTATAAATAAATAAATGGTAACATTTTCTTTTATACCTACATGACTTTACCGAAAGAACCAAAGAGTATAATATTTACATTGTATTATATTTCTTTTTTATATATATCGGTATAATTACACACTTGGACCATTCCATTGGCCAGTTGCCAGACTGCCAGATGGCCTTGCAGATTCTGCACAGAATTTCAATTATAATTTCTCCTCTAAGGAATTAAACAAATATAGATTCCTAAGTGTCTTAGACGTTGCTTATTTGTGTGTCCCAGACGATATTTATCTGTGGTGTCTTCCCTGGCACCGTATGGAATTGTTCCGACTCTGGGATTCCAGGCCTCCTTGGATTATCAGGATATTATTTTGTGGAGGTGGGTTGTTTATTTTTAATTGTCATCACTGGCATCTCAGTGGGTGTGGACAGCTGTTGGCTCATGACGAGCTCATTCTCACCGTGTTGGCCCTCTGGCTCATTTTAACCCATATGGATGGCCAGACAGCCTCCTCCTCCCCACTCGGCAAGGCGTAGTAGCGGGAGAGGCGGTTTAGTGGGGCCGATTGCCGACCATGCGGCAGGAAGTACTGAGTTTCAGGGTCTCAGTAACAGGCTACGGCTTACATTAATATATTATTTTTGGTCAAGGTGACCCGTGTTTGCTCGTTGTACATGAATAGTTGTTAAAAGTTTATTCAACAAAGTTGCAGGCAATTTTAAAATGTGTCCATTTTAAAACTGCCAATTTTAAAATGTGTCCATTTGAAAACTGCCTTGGACGTTGTTTTTAGCTCGTTTGTTTGGCCCACATTGTCCGTGGGAGTGATGCTTAGGTCGAAAGCTTCAGAAGCCCGATGGCACTGGCATAAATGATTATACCTTTCCGATGACTCATTGCAGTGGAAATCGGTCCAAGGTTTCCACATTAAAACAAATGCTTCTGGGAAACATCACTCTTGAAGGGCTAAAGGCCATGTTAATGTAAGATCATAGAGCGACCTCAACGAGGGCGCTTTCCGATCTGCCATTAAGATGCTAATTTCTTACATTAACATAATTAGCCCCGCCCACTTCGTTTATGACCCTTGGGCTACACCCATTTTAAACCTTTTAAAACAGCCTGCCTCAGCAGCTTTCCCCCTCCTGATGACGATCGCTTGTGTTGTGATCGAAACGTCGTAGTTTTTTTTATTTTCTTTGAACCTATCTACGTGACTTTACCGAAAGACCCAGA